GTGCGACATCTGTCTCTTATAGAAAAGAAAAGAAAAAAAAAGAAGAAGAAACGGCCATGTGCCTGACTGAACTGCTAGAAAAAGTCAGCCCGAGTTTCAAACTGCTAAAACGCAGTTTCAAATGCAATTGAAACTCGGGCCCTGACTGCGTCGTAGTTTTCTCTTTTTTTTTCAATGTCTTTAAATTCCTTATTTTCCTTTTCTCAACCTTTCACACAGGTCATAAAAGTCCATGACTCGTTCGCTAGTCGAACGGTGCTCCTGGTGGTTCAAAATATGAATATAGCCCTAGTTAAATTTCCAAAAGTATAAGAGCCACAATCCACCCCTACCTCCGAGCCTGTTTTTGCCAACCAAGTTTTACGCTGCACGCATGCGTTTTGCCGACCCTGGGCTCCATTTTGTTTTTTTCCTGGTGGTATTCTGGAAAAAAAGAAACGAAAAAAAAAAAAAAAAAAAAAAAAAAAACAAACAGATTTTCAAAAAAAAAGAACAAGCATGGCGTTCGCTTGCATCCACAGAAAAGAAAACGAGAAAAAAACGAGCACCCCTTTGAATGCGACACCGGGCAAATACCCACCCCAACGTAGTCGTGCCAGTACGCCGTCAGTGAGGGCGAAACCTCAGGGGTGTCAGGTCCAGAGAAGAAGAAAAAAGAAAAAAGTTCAAAAAACAAATTGAAACTGAACTTACGCCGCCAAAGCAGGTTCATACATTCTGCAAAGTGATAGTGTCGGCATGCCCTCCTCCACAAAGTGTCAGCAGCCCGTGGACTACACCGTGCCTTCCTGGCCGGGCACCAAAAAAAAAAAAAAAAAAAAAAAAAAAACCAACAACAACAACAACAACCTGAAACTGGCCACAATAGTACTTATATATTTCCCTGTGAGTTTTAGTGTTAGCACAACTTCGTGCGTGGCCTTCCCCGACATGGTCTTTTTCTTTTCGTTTCGTTTTCCGAACGGCCTGACAAGGCCCAACTGCCTGAGAGCCTCATCCCAGCCCCGAAAAGTTCAGAAACAAAATGGGATAACTGCCAACTTCCCATTTTTCCCAAGAGCAAGGTAGGGGCTCGTTTGACACTCCTCGGGCACCTAAAGTCCCCGAGGAATTGTTCGTTCCACTTATCCTCGGGGATGCAGTCGGACAAAAAAAAGTGAAAACACTCCGAAGGAAATTCCTCGGGCTCCGAGGATTCCCCAGCCATTTCTCCCTTTTGCCCAAGGGACCTCACGCGGCCTTTTGCCCAAGGGACCTGGGCAAAAGGAATCCGCGTTTCACGGAGAGGAGCGGGCACACGCGCAGAGAGACGTTACAACCGAGAATCTGGATCGTGGCGGCACCCTATTGGCTGAAGGCCTTAAGCACATTTGTTTTTTTTTTCGTTTTGGCTCAAAGGAAACGTCCTCGGGCGACGTCCCCGAGGACAGGTGGAACGAAGGGCCCAAATTTCCTTTTGACTAAAAGGAAGTTTTCCTCGGGCTCCGAGGCCCCAAGGAGTGTCGAACGAGCACCGTAGTGGTGTTTTAAGAAGACACCTGGTCATTATCCTTGACATTAGAAAAGAAAAAAAAAAACACAAAAAATCACCCAGAACACATACAATGATTGGGGTATACTGTTCAGGTGAAGACACTGCTCATCCCATTAGACCGAACAGTGCTCTCAAGCATTTGCAAACTAAGGGTCTCGTTAGACACTCCTAAAAGTTCCTGTTTTTAGGATTGCGTCTTGGTTGCATGCAATCCTAAATCGGACGCGGGAATCGAAAATGTGAAAACGGCGTTAGGACTCGTCCTAAAAGATTTAGGATTCCCCAGCCAAATCGTCCTAAATTTTCCAGTAGCCCCGGACCTACTGAAAAATTTAGGATTCCCGCGTTTCACGGAGTCGTCGCGTAGCGCGAATGGCACCGTCAACACGGAGGTGGTGGTCCAGGAGAGGTCGGTCGGGTCGGTGGGCGGACATCAGAGGTTTTCTGCCGGTTGACGGCGGCAACGGCCCTCACGGGTGGCCGTTGGCCGGTGGGGTGGGGCGCGGTGGGCGAAGCGTGGCCTGGCTCGCGGGCGTTGAGGACCGTTGGCTCTGGTGCGGGCAACGGAGGGGTCCCCAGACGTGCGCACGACGACACACGGAGGCTATCGTGGGCACCAACGGTCACTTTTTTGAATCGCAGGCGGCATCGTTTGTCGTCTTCGCTGGCGGTCGACGGCATATGAAGGCCCAACGTCCTTTTCCGCGGGCTTGTGAGGAGAAAGTTCAGCACGACGTCATGTAAAAGGTCGCCTGTCGACGTCGAATTCATGGCAGACATGCAGAGGAGATTGCCTCTGCTGCTTCTCGTTGTAGTCGTCTTCCTGTTTGTCGTCTTCTTCCATGTGTGTTTGTCGTGCCGGCCGTGGAAGCAACGTCGCAAGCGCATCGCGTCAACGAAATGCGGTGTGCAGGTACGTGTTGTTCCGCCCATGGCGGGCATGCAGGTACGCGCTGTTCCGCCTGCGGCTGAGGGCGGAAGAAGACCTCCGACGACGGAGCCTTCAAGGCGGTACAACCCCTCCATGTACAGCCATCTGCCATCGTGGGCGAGAGAGGAGTCGGAGGGGGATGAACTTCCAACGTTTCCTCTCGCCAGCGAGTCGACGCAGCTGTTGTCGCAGACGGTGCTCGCAGGTGGGTCGGCAAGCAACGGACGCGGCGAGTACACGACACTCCTGCAGCAGGGATCGGGAGACGACGATGACGGGGGAGTTGATCTCCGGTTCGGGTTGTCTTCTGGCGGCGGTAGGGAGGCGAGCCGCACGTTCATCATCGACGCCGATCCTTCACCGCGTGGCGTTCAACAATCTGGGAATCGACATACAGAGCTGTCCACACTTCGTGGCGGTACGTCCGTTTGTGTCGGTGTGAGGCCATCGTCAGCAGGCCAGCAGAATGGATCGAGTGCACCGTCCGCCGATCGATTGACAAGCACCTGCCCCGAACGCAACGCAGTCGTAGTAGGGTCCCTGCGCATCGGCGGTACACTTCATTCGATGCCCAAAAGCACAACGCCGACCCAACCCGACCTCAGGGACGACGGCACATGCAGACCAGCGGTGCGTCAAACACCCAGTGTGGAGAACATCACACGAGGAGTGTCGAACATGCGGGCACACAGCGATGGTGGCCACGACGATGGTGGTGGCGGTGACGATGCAGACGGGCGATTCGGGGAAGACGTGGAGGCAGGGGACGACGACGACGACATTCCGATTCGGTCCTTGGGGAAGACGGGTGGGAGGGGGAGAGGACGCAGCAGGGGTGCTGTTCGTGGTCGGTTCGTTGGCCGTGGGGGCAGAGGTGGCGTCAGCGATGACGGCGGGAAATCTGCGACGTACTGGTCCCCGGAAGAGCAAATCCAACTGGTGAGATGCAAGCGGGAGCAAGAGATGCACCTTGCCGGTCTCGGTCACAATTACGGGCGGATGCGGACCAAGGAGTGGAAGTGGGAAGATATTGCCAAGCGCATGGCGAACGCGGGGAGGCCGAAAGACGCGGACGACTGCATGAAGAAGTGGGACAATATCTTCCAAAACTACAAGAAGATACAGAGGTTTCACAATGCGAGTGGCCAACCAGATTTCTTCTGGCTATCGAATGAAGAAAGGAAGGAGCACAACTTCAAGTTCCGGATGGAGAGGGCGCTATACAACGAGATCCACATAAGCATGGTTGGCAACCACACAATTTTCCCTCCCAACATCGCCGACACTGAAAGTCCGGACGGGGTGCATCTGCCCAGGCGAGGAGCGGGTGCTGGGGAGTCTGTTGGTAGTGAGGGCGCTGGTCAAGGCCTCCCTGAAGAACGTTCTACTACGAGGGACTCCGACAGCAACGCTGCCAACGGGGCTGGAGGCGGTAAGCGAAAGAATGCGCGTCAACAGGCGTTGGAGTCGATTGCTGATGTTATGGACCGTCATGGCGAACTGATGTCGTCGACGATCGAATCATCTAGCAAGCGGCAATGCAGCATATTCACGAGGCAGTGCGACATACTAGAGCAGGAAGTTGCAGTCCACAAAGCGCATTACGCGGCATCCGATGAGACGCAGAGGATGATGTGCCACGCGCTTCTGGAGATCGCTGCCGCCATCCCTGGTCGGTCGGCGACGTAGGGTGCATGGTGTGTGTGTGTGCGGGTGTCCTCCACACAGTTCTATGGGTAGTTGTGCTTAATTTTTTTTTCCTCATCATTTTGGACGGCAGTGCATCATCTGCGTTTTCATGGCCCGTCAACCAGACAGCTGCGTGTGGAATGGGGTTTGAGGTTCCCGGATTATGGAGGCGGGGGTTTGGAATGTGTGTGTGTGTGTGTGTGTGTGTATGTGTGTGTGG